AAGTCACATTCCCTGCATGGCCCCTGGAGCATTGTTTGAGTTTGTGACTCCTGGTTGGGTGGCCATTGCAAATCAGGGACAGGTTGAAGCAGGGTTTAAACCACTGATGAATCGGGGCCCAGATTGGCCTTCTGCCTCAAGGCTCAAAGTAGACATAGATTGATGGTATACTTCAAAGGCGGAAGAGACACTTCTAAGAGTTTTGAAAGAACTGCCGCTACTTGCCTGTATAACATCTATTGTACCTTTCAGGAGAATTATATGATGTTTAAATACAATAAATGAAAGTTTCCAGAAATAGATATAAATACTTTGGAAGAATGCTAACAAGTCTTAAATTTGAATTGCCTTAAAGAAGCAAGCAAGATGAGATTCAAACTCTTAGAATTACTTTGCAAAATAAAGTGTATTTTATTGTCACCCTTTATGATTTCTGTGTCCTATATAGTAATAAATGTTTGCAGAAGGAGGGAAGGAGGGAAGAAAGGAAGGAAACTACTTGACTACAGGAATTGGCTCGTTCAGTTTTTTAAATATAGTTTTTATTTGTACATGATTAGAAGAAGTTGCAAAAGTAATATTAAGAGGTCCTGTGTTACATTTCCCTAATGCTAGCATCTTCTATAACTTTGGGCCAGTCCCTTTTCTTATTCCGGTGGCACATATTAAATTCAATAAAGTTTATTGAATGAATTTGTTTGCATATAGAAAATGCATGTTAGAAAAAAAAAAGAAGAAGAAAATGCATGTTAGGGGATTCCTGGGTGGCTCAGCGGTTTGGCACCTGCCTTTGGCCCAGGGCGCGATCCTGGAGTCCCCGGATCGAGTCCCGCATCGGGCTCCTGGCATGGAGCCTGCTTCTCCCTCTGTCTGTGTCTCTGCCTCTCTCTCTCTCTCTCTATCACAAATAAATAAATCTTAAAAAAAAAAAACTAAAAAAAAGAAAATGCATGTTAGGGGCACCTGGGTGGCTCAGTTGGTTAAGCATCTGCCTTTGGCTCAGGTCATGATTTCAGGGTCCTGGGATTGAACCCCTGTGTCATGCTCCCTGCTCAGCAGGGAGTCTGCTTCTTTCTTTCCGTCTGCCCCTCCCCCTGGCTCGTGCTCTCTCTCTCTCAAATAAATAAAATCTTTAAAAAAATGAATGTTATCAGTATTGATTTAGCAGGCTAGTTTCTTTGTTTAATTTTATTACCTCTGAATAGGTAGTATATGCACATGGAACTAATTGAATAGGTACAAAGGGTATACACAGAAAAATAGGTCTCCTTCCTTTCCCTGCTTCTCAGTCATCCAGATGCCTCTCCAGAGGCAACTGTTTATCCGTTTCTCATGTCTCCTTCCACACATAGTTAATGTTTGCAACTCCTCAGGAATCTGTTGTCTACTTACCACCCTTCCTCCAATGTAACATATCATATGCATATCTTTTTCATTTAGCAGTATATATTGAAGATCATCCTGTATAAGTTAATAGAGTGCTTCTCTATTTTTTAAATGGGTTTTCAATATGAATCCTATTATATATGAAGTGGGTGTACCATAATTTATTTAACCAATTCCCTGTTGATGGACATGTAGGTTGTTTCTTGTCTTTTACTATTAAAAACAACACTGCGGTGAATATCCATGTCTGTTTTTATTTAGCACAGATATGGTCTCTTTAGGCACTAAAGAATACGTTTATGGATTTGAAATCCCTATACTTCCCTCTTTGGTCCTATAAATAGAACTTTGATGGTGGAACATTTCCCAAAGCTTTGTGAGGTTTTTGGCCTAAGTCAGTGAGATTTGCCAAAGGTCTGGCAGCTTTTTAACTGATGCTGATGCACCTGTTCTTGGTTATTTTCATTTGAGCTGGGTCTGATGGGTAGAGAAAAGAACAAGATAAGTTACACTCAGGATGGCCTAACTGGGGATGTGCCACAAAAAATAATGAATGGGTATGACTTCTCTTCATACCTATCACTTGATCCAGCCCTCACTCCTAGCCAAAGGGTCTTATCTCCTATTTGAAGTTATTTCCTATCTCCCCTCACTGCCTATCAGATTTTGGTGAAATTTCATTACTCAGTAAGTATCTCCATTTTTAAGCAGCTTTACAATGGTGAGAGAGGAGTTGTGTTATCTTTGTGTTGCTGGCCTGTGTTTTATTAACCATGTATTTCTTTAAACAGAATCTTTTAAAAATTTTTTTTAAAGATTTTGTTTATTTATTCATGAGAGACACACAGAGAGGCAGAGACATAGGCAGAGGGAGAAGCAGGCTCCCTATGGGGAGCCCGATGTGGGACTTGATCCCAGGACCCCAGGATCATGACTGGAGCCAAAGGCAGACACTTAACCACTGAGGCACCCAGGCGCGCCCCTCTTTAAACAGAATCTTAAAAATTGAAGTTGGTTTCTTTCTTTCTTTCTTTCTTTCTTTCTTTCTTTTTTTTTTTCTCTTTATCTGGGTTTTTGCTGTGGTCCTTGAGGGAAAGGACTGTTGTTCTTCCACATTCAGAATTTATTTTGGTTCCATGAAGTCCAGTGCTCCTAAGCAGCTGTTAGTTAACAAGCTGCCCCAAATGTCTGAAAAATGGGAGGGATACAAAATGATGAGCTTATAACTCATTCATTTAGTCATTAATTCATGCAACAAGTATGTATCAAGTGCCTACTCTGGGCCAGGCAGCCTTGGCCTAAGTCAGTGATAAGACAAGATCCTTGCCAATATAGAGTTTGTTCTCTGGCATGTGTGTGCATGCGGCGTGGAAGAGAGACAAAAATAAAGAAGCAATCGTTTAGTATGTTAGAAGGGGATAAATGCCATGGGGGTGGAGGGTAAGGGCAGGCCAAGGGAGATTGGGATTTGGGGGGGCGGGGAGAAGGGTGTACACTACCATTTTAAATAGAGCCGCCTGAGTCCTGAGGGTGTGAGATTTGAACTAAGCCTTCAAAAAGTAGAAAATATCTTTATACAGTATCCTATGTGTATGTATGTGTGTGTGTTCGCATGAAAATACTGCTAATGGGGGCACCTGGGTGGCTCAGTGGTTGAGCATCTGCCTTTGGCTCAGGTCATGATCCTGGGGCCCTGGGATCAAGTACCACCTCAGGCTCCCCACTGGGAGCCTGCTTCTCCCTCTGCCTATGTCTCTGCCTCTCTCCGTGTGTGCCTCTCATGAATGAATGAATGAATGAATGAATAAAAATCTTTAAAAAATACTGCTAATGACTGAAATTTTTTTAAGGACTGTATTGAGATATAATTGGCGTACCATTAAATCCATCATTTTACACTGTAAAATTCAGTGGGTTTTAGTATATATAGACTTGTGCAACCATCATCATTATCTAATTCCAGAACATTTTCATCACCCCCCCAAAAGAAAGCCATTGGCAGTCACTACCCATTTAGGCCTCCCTCCAGCTTCTGGCAACCACTAATTTTTCTGTCTCTGTAGCTGGGCCTATTCTGGACATTTCACATAAATGGAATCATACACTATGTGGTCCTTTATGATTGGCTTCTTTCACTTACCATGATGTGCTCATTCACATTGTAGCCAGTATCACTACTCCATTCCATTGTATGGATGTACTGTTTTTGTCGACTCCTTCATCAGTTGACAGTGACCTTGAGTTTTAAATACTGCAAAGTGTCACGGGTGGGCTATAGGAATTTACTTCCCCTTAATGACTGGACTGGGCCACCTAGGGGGAAGTATTAGGATTGCTGGTGCCCAGCAGTGGTTAGGCTTGGTTCTGAGGGAATTACAAAGCCCCTGTACTCAACAGCCCTGCTTTCCCAGGTGCCTCCCTCTTAAGCAGAAACTCTGGGTGGTCCAAATGCGGCAATGCAGATCCGTGGATTTTTTTCAAGTGTATTTACTAGCCCGCATTTTGAAAATATTTTTTTCTCCTTTACCCTTGGTAAATTGTTTACCCAAGACAGTAACTCAATGAGTTTTCTTTTCGTCTTTTTAATATTTTGGGTGTGGCAGCAAGTAGAAGCAGATCATCCTAACCAAATATTTGCGGATATCTGAACAAAGCCATTTGGCTGAGAGAAGGAAAAGCCCACGGAGGAAGTGGGAACCGAATCTCAGTTTTGAATGATGGGTTCGATTCTCATAGGGCTAGACGAGGGCGGAAAAGGCCTGTTCCAAAGAGGGGCAGGGACTTGAAAGTTTCTCTTCTGGGCGATTAGGGAGCCCTGGGTCCTGGAGCAAGTCTTCGGTACATGAATTTGGCAGCCGTCATTCTGCGCATGAGGTGATGGCGTTGGAATACTCTGGCCTTCTGCAAATGGAGACTCAAAGTTTCAGGACTCCTCTTGGGGGGTGTTTTGAGTTACAGTGTCTGGGCTGCAGAGAGGGGAACTCCATCAGAATCCAATGGCTAAATGGCTCCTTCCTCCGCCTCCCCAGTTGAGAGTGCCGTCTTAGCGACACCGGGCAAGAACCGGATGGCCCCGGCACCGGCCGAGCTGCGGGCGGCCTTTCCCATTCAGTCCTAGAGCTGGGGGTGAGGGTGGCGAGCCGGGGGCGGGCCCGGGAACCGCGGACTGGGGCCGCAGAGCCAGCAAGGACAAGGCCCCAACCACTGCACGGGGCCGCAGGCGTGGGGCCTCCAGAGACAACGCAGTCGCCCGGCAGCAGGATGCAGCCCGGGTTCCCGCCGAACTCTGGCAACGGCGAGGAGAAATGTCTGCCGCCGAGGGCGGAGCGCGGACGGAGGGGTGGAGCTAGGCCGCGGGGGCGGGGCGAGGACGGGGGGCGGGGCAAGACGGCGGGCGGAGGGCGGGGCGAGAACGACGGGGTGGAGCGCAGGCGGCGGGCGGGGGCGGGGCCGGGGCGAGGGGGCGGAGCGAGCGCGGGGGCGTGTCCGGCCGCCGGGCCGCCCCCCGCCGCCCCCGCCCCGCCCTCCCGCTCCCCCCCTCCCCAGGCGGCCGCGGCGGTCGAGTGCGGGGAGGGAGGGGAGAGCGGGTCACGACGTTGCCGGGGCGGGGATAACCCCTCACGTGGAGCAGATGAAAGGGCCGCGGCGCGACGGCCGGGGGAGCCGAGCCGAGCCTGCGACCCACAAAGCCGCCGCCGCCGCCGCGATGGGGCTGTGAGGCGTCCGCCCGCGCTCGGTCCTCCGCCGGCCCGCGACTATGCCCGGCCGCGCCCGCCCTCCGCGCCCTCCCGCCGCAGGACCATGAGGCCGCGCTCGGGCGGGCGCCCAGGGGCCCCGGGCCGCCGCCGCCGCCGCCTCCGCCGCCGCCCCCGCGGCCCCCGCGGCCGCCGCCTGCCGCCGCCGCCGCCGCTGCCGCTGCTGCTCGGGCTGCTGCTGGCGGCCGCGGGGCCCGGCGCGGCGCGGGCCAAGGAGACGGCGTTCGTGGAGGTGGTGCTGTTCGAGTCGAGCCCGAGCGGCGACTACACCACCTACACCACCGGCCTCACGGGCCGCTTCTCGCGGGCCGGGGCCACGCTCAGCGCGGAGGGCGAGATCGTGCAGGTAGCCGCCCGCCGCCCGGGCCCCGCGCCTCCCCGCCGCCGCCTCCCCGCCGCCGCCTCCCCGCCGCCGCCGCCGCCACAAGATGGCTCCGGGGGCTGCGCCCGCCGACCCCGCCGCGGGCTGGCGGGCGGGCGGGCGGGCGGGCGGGGCGGCGGCGAGGCCGGCGGCATCCCTCCCGGGCCGGCGGGCGGGACGCGGCCTCCAGGGCGCCGCAGCGGGGGGCGAGCGCACGTGGGGGCTCGGCCTCCGGGGGGCGGGCGGGAGACCCCGGGTCGGGGGACTCACGTAGACGCGGCCCCCGGGGGCCGGCCGGCATTTCGGTTTGCCTCAGGTGGAAGTCCTGGAACTACCTGTTGCATGCCAACTTTGGAAAGACGGGCGATGAAGGATGGGGTGGCTTGTTCCAGTCACAGACAGGCTCTGCTTTGCATCCTTGCATGTCCTTTTTTGGGAGTAGCCAGGTTTGTCTGCAGGCTGCACAACGCCAGGTTCTTCCCTGGAACCTGCCGCCAGCCTCACCTGGGCGCTGACCCCCCTGCAGGGCTCTGGACAAGCAGCAGCAGGCAAGCAAGCAGGGGGAGCTGGCCGAGGAGCGGGGATCGCGGGTGCCCTGGAGTGGCCGCAGAAGGCAGCCTTCGCTGCGTGCCTCAGATTACAGCGGGTGGGAGGGAGACCGCCTGTCGGCTCCTGGGCCAAGGACTTTTGCGGAGGGCCTGGAAATAGGGAGACAGGGTCGCGCACTGACAGCCGCCCCCCCCCCCTTGCTCCCCATGAGAGAGGTCTGCACTCCAAAGAAGGCTGGCTAGGGAGAGTTTTGAGCCTACACTTTGGAGGACGGGCTCAGCTGAAGCCTCTGCGGTTGCTGAGCTGGGTAGATGCCTTCCCGCTTCCTTGGCTATGATTTTATCAACTTGTTAGTAGACTGCCAGCGCACTTAAGGCGGTTAATATGCATGCCTCGGATGCGGGCGATTTGAAATGGTTGACTTGATTCGGAGCCTTTTTGGAGATGATGGGATGGCTCCAGGGCTGCAAGCCTTGGGCCTTCTGTGCTTTACTCTTGGACGAGTTATGAATGAAGAGAAGGGAACTGGATGGATGATTGCATGGCAGCCTCTTCGTTTCCCCTCCCGTGGTGCATACTCGAAGCCCTACGTGGATAGGACAGGGAGCTGTGCAGCTTGGCTCCTTAGAGGTGTGTCCTTACCGAGCGGGGGGGGGGGGGGGGTGAGAGGCACCCCTGCCAGGCGATTAATCAGCAGCATTGCCTCACAGAGCTTTTACTCTCTTCTTAAACTTCTGCAGGGAAAAGAGAAGGGGAAGCACATGTTTGAGTCCTGTGACTACATATGTTAAAAGCTTTGGGACTTTTTCCCTTGCTAATGTTACAGTTACGGTCTTTAGTTTATAAGCTTTAGAGAAGATGGTCTGCTGAAGATTCCTAACACGTTTTAGTGGAAGCCTTCAAGAATAGTCTGAATCCTAAAGCTCATTCCCTGTAACTCCTTGTTTCTCTTTGAGACTTTCACTGTGCCCTGGATGGCTTTAGAAATGTTTGATTTACAGCCTCCTAAGAGAAAAGATGTTTTAGCCTGGCACTTCACTTTTTGAAGGGGACTTTTGAAGTTTGTGATTTTTATCTGCAATGTTTTAACTTGTACTCTTTCTCCACGGTAGTTTGTCTGGCGGGCTATCCATTATGGGTAGTGCTGGGGTTTGGAGATAATCTTGGGTTCACCATTTAATACAAAATTAGCAGTTTAAACACACCATTTGTAGCTGTTTTATCCTTGTGAGTAGAGAGAGAATGTATGAATTTGGCAGAAGGAATCTATTCTCTTTGAATCTTTTTGAAGTGCTTATCTAACTCTTTTGTAGTCCATTAGCCTAGCGCCCCCCCCACCAAATTAAGTCAACAATTGCTAAGTAAAGAAAAATGACTTAAATGGTATTTAATAAGTTGACCTCTTAAGCAATCACTAATGTCCTTAATTCCTTTATAACTGCACAGTGTTGGTGAGTTTATCTGAGCTGTCTGAATAGTCATTTCTCGGTGTTCTCACTCCGTATCTTTAATAACTTTATTGTGGGGGCCACTTGCTGAACCTCTCAACTCTAGAGAACAGCTCAGCATGGCTTTCAGGGCTGTGTGTGTACAGAGGCTGGCATGCTTTTATTAGTTCTTCGAATGCTGCCTGATTGAAGTAACTGGCGTGGCTCCTGTCAGCCCTGAAAAATGTTTTTGTAAGGAAAGCTGGTGTTTCAGAACCGCTGAGAGGGAATGTAACATTTTGTATGAAAAATGAGAATGTAGAAGAAACAAATTGGTGTTTAGCTTCAGATTAATCATGTTTTCTAAGTGCCTTGTTGAACTTTTCAAACCTCCTTTTATTTACTATCTTAAAATAACCCTGTGTGATTTGCTATTTAATATTTTATGGTTGTCAGAGCAAGGCTCATTTTCCTATAACTAAACCTAAATAGTAGCACTCTAGCTTTGCTTGTGTTATTTCCAGTGGGATTTGGTAGCACTGTTGTTCATGGTTAAGGGGAGAAAAAGACCTGTTTGGAAGTCTCTTTCCTCTAAGAATTCTTAAGATAGGAAATTGGTTTGTATTACTGTTTTTCCTCCCTCCCTATTAGGTACAATGACAGGAGATACCTTATCGTAGTCTTGGTTTGCCCCAGATACTTCTAATTAGAGTACCTGTTGTTCAGTCATTTGCATGGGTTAGGGGAAGGGGAGGCCTGATTAAGAATGTGTGTGTGTGTGTGTGTGTGTGTGTGTGTGTGTGTTACAGTGTCAGTGTCAGTGTCAAAGAGAGCTAGTAATTCAAACCTTGGTATTAGTCACCAGGATTCTTGGTTCTCTCGCCTTATGCATTTTAGGCTTAAGTAACTTTTGCAAGGTCACCGCTCTGTTGTGTTAAGAAGAGAGATTTTTTTTTTTTGAACATCTTCATCTATGAAAGTAGTGAAAACAATGTGTGGATATGAAATGGTATTAATTATTTATTCATGCAGCACTGAAGTCCATTTGCTCATAAGTGTATTAGACGTACAGTGTGAACAGTGTGAATGCCAGAGGAATTAATTACAGTTCTGTCATTCTGAAGTATGGAACTTTAAAGGGTTCTTAGACATATTGATACATATTTCATCTTTGAACCAATTTGTTGCTATTATGAGATCATTATCTGAAACTTTCAGACTTGTCCACGCAACTCACATGGTTAGTGATGTTAAATAAAGGCCTGATTAAACACTGGCTAGTGGTATGTGGATTGGTTAAACAAACAAAGAAAATTTGCATCGCTAGAGATGAAAGATTGTTTTAAAGTGGAAATGCATTTTTCCCCCTTGAAGTCAAATATTTAGAAACGCTTGAGAAATTCATTTGTAGAAGGACTCTGAATGATCGTTTTGTGTGACTTTAAAATTGGTCTTTCTGGATCCTGGGTTAAGTGTTGAATGGTCTTGAAAGCAGAGGAAAGTTGAGAACATTTAAGAACTAAGACACTCACTGCCTTTAGCTATGAGGGGTCAGGGGAAGCCGGGTGGTGGGTTAGAAGGGCTGAGTGACATCCTTAAATATCCAATATTAGCTAAGGGCATCACAGAGTAATTTTAGGAAACTAATTCCTCTGTCTTGTTTCCCTGTCAGTGTGTTTCTGCAGTTCCAAATTTGATCAAACACTTTTCTTTTCATCTACATTTTAAGTTAACAGGCCTGCCTCTAAAAATTGACTTGGCCTAATAGAACAATTGTGTGCTGGCAGCTGACCTGGATTTACACAGAAAGAGATTGACTGTCTTGTTAGAGGGCCTTCATAGGTTAAAACCAAGTATTTGATTTGGGGGAAAATGTTAGGGCTGTGTTTTGTGACCTTATTAATGCTTAGGGACTCATATTTTCTGCCTTGTTCTCTAAGATCCCATGGGAGTTGTTAATGCAGCTCTGAATGGAGATGCAGATGGGAGTGGGAGGTTTAAGCATGAAATCTGCAGACCAGAGGGAAGGTGGCGATGGCCTTCATTTATTGTGTGCAGGGCATTGTGCCAAGCACATCATGTGTTTATTCCTCACATCCTGACTTTAACATGGAATTAGCAACTACTGTTAACCCATTTTACAGGTGATGAAACTGAGGCCGAGAAAAGTGATTTGACTTCCCCAACCTCACCCAGCTAGCAAATGATAAAATCTGGGTCAAAACCCAGGTCGGTCTGGCCCCTTTGCTCCTATATTTGCCAAATAAATAGAACTTGGCTGGTTAGGCTTGGGCATTATTTTGAGTCTAATTTCTAACAGTGTAGTGTGGAGGTTCTTAATCTGAAGGTCACAGACTTCCAGAGAGGGCCTGTGAACACCTGAATTTTTTTTTTTTTAAGATTTTTCTTTATTTATGAAAGACACAATGAGAGACAGAGGCTGAGGGAGAAGCAGGCTCCCTGCAAGGAGCCTGATGTGGGACTCAGTCCAGCATCCAGGGATCACGCTCTGGGCCAAAGGCAGATGCCCAACTGCTGAGCCACCCAGGTGTCCCAACACCTGAAATTATAGATGCAGTGCACTTGTGAATGTGCTCTTCTGTTTTCTTGAGAAGATACACAGTTTTGCCTGTTGAGGGATTTCTGGGATTCCCCTTCTCCCCAAGAGGAAAAAGAGAAGCACTGGTTTAATACCCATCACCAAAAGAGTCCATTACTAAGAATTTGGAGCTCAGGCTGGCAAGAGTTGTAAAGAAGTCTACAGGTTTGTGTGTCTCCGTCGAGCATATTCATCTGATAAATGTTTACCAAACCCTATTTTCAGACACTGTATTGCTATTTTTTTTGGAGTCTGCCATCTCTTATAGAGACAGACATGTGTATGGATAAGTGATAATCCTTCCCAAGAGGGTTCCCCCACAGAATTGGGCCCTTAGTTCCCAAGACATCGTTGTCTATAATGAATTAACTTTTCTCTTGTGCATCCATCTGGTACTAGTTAAATGCATT